ATTTTAAATGTCTCCATAATGTTTTTAGAGACTCTGTGGCAGTTTGTGATCAGCGTCTCTATGTTGACTTATAGTGCGCTCCCCTGGTAAGCTTTGCGTGCTCGCGCGTGAAAATTGTCCCCTTACGCTCCTGTTTGGTCCACCATGCACGTGTGTGGGATTTCAGAAACATGGGAGCTTTCTTTTGTTGTTTGCAGCCAATCAGCATAATTGCGCATACATACATGCTTTGAGCTTTTATAAGGGTAGGGTGGACATTAGAGTTACTGCAGCCCGTCCACGATGATGAGACGGACAGCGTGGGCGATTTTCACAGCGAATCGAACAAGAGCGTTATGGGTAGATCGTCACGAGCGTACGCGCAAGTGCAGTAGGGGAAGGCATCACGATTCACCGCACTGACACTGACCATGGACTGCCACAGCTCTGCTTTTCTCCTTTACATATATGGAAGTATACTGAATTTGACATCGTCATAAATGTGAAGTCCCATTCATTAACTAACAATTGTAAAAAGTTGCTCATTCATTTTTACATTTTTTATGATTTTTCGCTTTATTAGGGTGAAAGGTCCTCTCCGTGTACTTCACTTAAAACTATTTATTTGCCTGCGGTCTACTGACAAGCAGTAAACGTCCAATTAAATTTCTTAAATTGATTTTGGTGCGGTGAAACCATAAGGCTATCGAACATCCGCGTTTCACTTCATTGGAAGCCGAAATCTTTCCCACTTGACTGAACCATGTCGAAACAGAATCCTTTGCCTATACACTGACATTAAGCGTTCCGGCCCGAGATACCACGAACGATGATATGTATGCAGATTTTCCGATTCATAGACGTTTCCAACCTTAACTCAAAAAGTAAATTCATAAATTCCCTATTGCTTCTTTAAACCCAGCTCACTTAAAACTTACCGGCAATGAATTCTTTTAAAAGCTAACGTTAACGGTTACCCAAGCGCCAAATACACAGATTAATTCAAGAGTTTGCAGAAGAATTGGACAAGGACTAGTAAATCAGATATCTTTCTTACTGAAGTTTGAACACGCAGTGCAAAATAGCGAACAAGAAATACATCATCATCTATGCGATGGCAGTAATAAAGTAGAACGTTATTCAATTCATTTGGTGTTCTCTTAGCAGCTGACACGTTTAATAATCGTGGGTAAATCTCGATTTGCGGAGTGCATCTGCATTATCATTCAAATTGTCGCATTTGATGATGCCAACCAACGAATAATTGTTGGGCTGCACCAAAGGTAAACGTTAAACAAAATTTCCTCTAGTTCGACCTTTATGGTATTCTCACTTCCTGAGAATAAAAAAATCATCCAATAATGACCTGAAATGTGTATTTGGGGACCCGCTGATTGTGTTGCGCATATTTGGCCTATTGAACTGTAC